CCAGACTGAAGCGGGTCTAGCAGAGAATTGGACTCGAGGAAGTCTGTCAATCTTGCATACACAACTCTTTTAAGGATCTTGGATGCAAAAGGCAGTAGCGAGATAGGACGGTAATTGGACGGGGAGTTAGGGTTAAGGTTAGGCTTCTTTAGAATTGGGGTTACAGTTGCATGTTTGAAGGGTGATTGAAATATGAGGAGAGAGAGAGAGAATGAGAATTTTAGTGAGAGGTAGAGAAAGAGAAGAAGACAGAGTACGGATGAGATGCGAGGGAATTGGATCTAGGGAGCAGGCAGTGGGGCGGGAGGACTGGAGCAGAGCAGAAACGTTTTCCGCTGTAGCAGGTGCAAATTAACATAGAACAGCAGAGGGAGTGAGGTTAGGGGAAGTATTGTAAGGGGAAGAAGAAAGATGAGAGATCTCTTTCCTGATTGTAGAGATCTTGTCAGTGAAGTGAGTTGCAAAGTCTGAGGCGGTCAAGTTAGTAGGTGGAGGAGGAATAATAGGGTGAAGAAGAGAGTTAAATGTGTGAAATAGTCATATGGGTATGGTATTAGGATAAACAATTCTGTTAATATCTCGGGTATCCATTGCAAACCCAGTAACCTTTAAATCATGATGACGGTAAAAGCTTCATTAGGGTGGTTCATTTTATTTAAGAATTGGTACTGAGCCAAGAGGTGTAGTTATGTAAGTAGCAAAAGACTCCATTCCAATTAAGCAATTAGATTAGACTTTGAGCATGGAATTTCCAATTAGTTCACTAATATTCAAGTTATCAAATGATGGTAAAGTCTGTTGTGAAAACAATAGAAACATGTCCAAGACTATGGGCCTGGATGAGCAAGTAGGCCTGTTGAGGATTAGGAGTCAGAACCAGGGCCCAATTGTAAAATAAATAAAATTAACTGAAGTTTATATATATTTGAACAAATGGGTCCAGGTCGGGGTTCTGCTGCAATGTGCTGTACAGAGCCATATAAAAATTGTGCTGTTGACCATATATTTCTGGACCTAGCTGTATAATTGTTATTTAGTTTCCTCAAAGTTAAACACTTTGTCCCTTTTATTTGCTGTGTTTCTGTTATTTTGTCCGCTTCTGAACACATCACAATGATATTATTTCAGATATTAATCTTTAGTGTAGTTAACTAAGAAGAATTGTCTAGTTTTTAAAACAGGTGCATTAAACTCTAGTTTTCTAAGACTATGTGATTTTGCTGCTTTTCAGGAAAATTACTAGTTGTACAACCAGTGTTGCACAAACTATGATTGTTTGCCTGCTAATGAATTAGATATATCCTTAATCTTTGCTTAGATCTTAGACCTTGCACCCCCATGTTTGTCATCCCAGTTTAAAGAAATAGCCCCATGGCCGATTGTAAAGATCTAATCAGTTGTGCATGGGATCTACACAAAACCTCATCAAAGTAAGCAGCAGCTGAAAAAATACTACTAGAAATCTACGCTTGTTAAATTTAAATGTTAAAGTTGTGGAATGTGGGCCAACTGGTTATTTTTATTGTCTTAACGTTCTGCTTTCCTTTTCTTTCAAATAAAAGTTTATAACGTAAAATATCTTTTCATTATTACATGTTCATGTTTATCTTTATCCTTCCACACCCTTAAACCTTTCTTATGCCATTTCCCATGAACATATTGTTGTGTGTATATATATATATATATACATACATACACACACACATATCCATATGAACATTTATCTACATATACGCGTCTCTCCTTCTATAGGTGTACATGTATTTATGCACACAGCAGACACGCACATATATATATACTTTTTTATATAAATATATATATACACAAGTATATATATATATATATATAATCTATCTATCTACATACATACACCTATATATCTATATACTTATACTTCTCTCTATCTATTTAAATAAGATTTGTATTTTTATTTTACTCTGATTTTAACTCTGATGCCTAAAAAAAGCAAGTTCCGGATAGCTGATACAATATATAATGAGGAATTAGATTCCATTACACGAGGACTTAACCTTCACCAAGTGCATTCAGAGCTTGCCAGGAGTCATCAATATTTAACAGCTGTTGTTATTATGAAATTCTTTGCTGGGTAATGTGGCTTCATTGCTTGCACGCAATGGTTTGAACCAGTGCCAGGGCTCTGTCAGGCAGAAGAAGAGATTGACAGAGGGCTGGGTTTGCGTGACAGCAAGGGTTTGGTCAGCCAGCGGTCTGTTCTCCCTCTGGTGTTTCTCTCTAAATGGGATTCCACTGTTTGGAAAAAAGGGCACTGTGTAAAAAAAAAAAAAAAAAGGAAAAAAGAAAAGAAAGAAAAGAGAAAATATGAGGGCTGGAGTTTTGCAGTGCTCACATGGCTCTGTGCCAGCTCCCGCCCACATGTTGAGAAGATAGCTGTGTTCTGATCACGCAAAGATGTCAGGGAGGAGGGGGGAAGAGAGGGAGAAAAGGAGGAGGGAGAGAGAGTAATGGAGGGAGGGAGGGTAGGAAGATGTACTGTAAATTGCCTGATGGATAAATGCAACAGAGTGTTTATTTGAATGAGCTGGCAACCTTCAGTGATCTGTTATATATGAGAAACTCGTTAACTATAAAGTCTCAGGAAGGCAATGTGCTCCTATGTGCCTTGCTGCCAAATCAGCCTACAGCTCATTATTAACCCCTAAAGTGTCATAGTGTGCATTGTCCTGTACAGACCACTGTTATTATTCACGAACATATGAAAAGGATGTCAACATACAGACCTGTCAATATGTGTCACATCAGCTCATACATTTTGCATTTCCCTTATGTTACAGTTCCATATATACATACATAGTTCGCCCTATTCTGTGCGGCAATAGTAAGCAATTCCCTCTAAGGTGTTCTCTACATTATGCTAAACTGTGTGTCCTTTCCCTGTTTTATTATTTTTTATGATAGAATGGCATTTTTTCTTTTTTTCTTTATTCTCTATGATATTATTTTTTATGTTTTAACTTTTTTATCATTGCTACCTACAGTTGGTTAACCCCTTAAGGACTGAGGCAGTTGTTCAAGTTGTGATAAAAACCTTGAATTTGACTATATGCCTGTTCAGGCGTAATTCGCCTCTTTCGTATTATGTGCACCCACACTTATTATATATAATTTTGCTCAGGAGAAACAGGGCTTTCATGTCACTTCAAATATTTGTATATTAAACATAATTTAATATGAATAACATATAAGAACAACTGAGAAATTAAGAAGTGTTTTTTTTTAGTTTTGCATGGGATTTTAACTGTGAATATCACAATAATGTTAGCTGTTACGGCAATAAAGTACACATATTTGTATTCAGCGATGTCTCACGAGTAAAACAGTACCCCCGATGTACAGGTTCTATGGTGTTTTGGAAAGTTACAGGGTCACATATTGCACGTTACATTTTTCAGTTTATACACATTGAAATTGGCCAGACTGGTTATGCTGCCTTTGAGACCAAATGGTAGCCCAGGAATTAAAGTTACCCCCATGATGGCATACCATTTGCAAAAGTAGACAACCTAAGGTATTACAAATGGGGTATGTCCACAGTGGCGTCGCTAGGGGGGGGCCAGAGGGGGCCATGGCCCCCCCTACATCATGCTGTGCCCCCCCTTGGGCCCCCCCAAATGCCAGCAACTTGCTGGCCATGGGATTCCCTCGGACTGTAACAGCCTGTTACAGCCCGAGGGAGGGAATGCAGTGCTGAGCTGCTGGGGGCTGTCTGTGGCCGGAGGGAGCACTGATTGGCTCCCCGGCACAGGCCCGCCCCCAAACGAAGCTCCGCCTCCCGCCGATAAGCCCCGCCCCCGCCGTAAAGCAGCAGCCCATGCTGCTTCAGAAAATGGCTGCCTGACCCCCAGCAACAGCCTCCAGTGACAGGTAGGCTGGGGGGGGGGCCCACACACACTGCCCCCATACTGCCCCATACACACACACTGCCCCCCATACTGCCCCATACACACACATTGCCCCCCATACTGCCCCATACACACATTGCCCCCCCATACTGCCCCATACACACACTGCCCCCATGCTGCCCCATACACGCACATTGCCCCCCATACTGCCCCATGCACACTGCCCCCCATACTTACTTGTACACACTGCCCCCATACCCTTTATACACATTTGCCCCCCCATGCCTTGCCCCCATACACACCTGCCCCCATGCTGCCCCATACACACACATTGCCCCCCCCATGCAACCCCATACACACACATTTGCCCCCATACCTTGCATACACACGCATTTACTTTATACTGCCCCATACACACTGCCCCCCATACTGCTTTGAAATTTCCTTGCTGCCCATACACACACATTTGCCCCCCATGCTGCCTATACACACACAGTACCCCCATACTGCCCCATACACACACACACATTGCCTATACTACCCCATACACACACTGCACCCCCCCATACACATTACCCCCCTTACACACTGCCCCATACTGCGCCCCATACACACACACTGCCCCCATACACACACACGCCCCCCATACACACACACACACACACTGCCCCCCATACACTCCCCCCATACACACACATTGCCCCCAATACTGCTCCCCTTAGACACACACTGCCCCCCATACACACACACACTGCCCCCCATACACACACTGCCCCCCATACAGCCCCCCCATACACACATACTGCCCCCATACACACACATTGCCCCCCATACTGCCCCCCTTACACACACACATTGCCCCACACACTGCCCCCCATACACACACACTCTGCCCCCCCATACACATACACTCTACACACATACACTATCCCCATACACACACACTGTATGGACTCAGCAGTCTGTGTGTGTGTGTATGGACTCAGCAGTCTGTGTGTGTGTGTATGGACTCAGCAGTGTGTGTGTGTGTGTGTGTGTATGGACTCAGCAGAGTCTGTGTGTGTTTATGGACTCAGCAGAGTCTGTGTGTGTGTATGGACTCAGCAGAGTCTGTGTGTGTATGGACTCAGCAATCTGTGTGTGTGTGTATGGACTCAGCAATCTGTGTGTGTGTGTATGGACTCAGCAATCTGTGTGTGTGTGTGTATGGACTCAGCAGTCTATCAATAATTAAAATTCCATTGCTTTGCCCAGGGGCCCTTAACTCTGTTAAAATGGTACTGCTTGTGTGTGTCAGTGAGCTTCTATTTAGTGAGCATGTGTGTGTCAGTGAGCTTGTCTTTAGTGAGCTTGTGTGTGTGTCCCTGAACTTCTTTGTAGTGAGCCTTCTGTTTATACAAGTGAGTGTCTGTAGTAAGCTTGTGTGTGAGTCAGAGAGTTTTGTCTGTCAGTAAGCCTATTTGCGCATGTCAGTGAGCTTGTGTGCTTACTGTAATATATATATATATATATATATATATATATATATATATATATATACATATTTTGACTTGTAGGAATGGCATACTTTTTTTTCCAGGGCTGCTTTGGATTCCCAGGGATTCCCAGTTTGGCTCTGCCAGCGAGTGCACTTTACCGCTGAATAATCTGTGTGAGCTGCCGCACACTTTAGCCCTGTTACACGCGTCTGGGAGCTGCTGTTGACAGGTACTAGTAGTCTAGAGATTGGGGTATATGCTCAGCTATCTGTATAATACAGATCTGTGTGTATAAAATATCCCGGGATAGTCAGTGCTTCCTGTATAGTGCTGCTCTCTGTCTTGGGATATTATACACAAACAGACCTGTATTATACAGAGAGCAGCACTATACAGGGAGCACTGAGTGTCCCAATTTATTATACACACAACCCTGTATTATACAGAGAGCACTGACTGTCCAGGGATATTATACCCAGACAGTAATTGATAGCTGTGCTGCAAAATGTCCTTGGAATTTTTTTTTCAAATGTTGGCAACTATGGCACTGTATCAAGGATAATGTGTTTGTTTTTTTAATAATCCCTGGTGGAAAATAATGAATCCTCCACCAGGTATTATTAAAAAAACAAAACACATTGTGTCGGGGGCGTGGCTTAACATGTGACAGGGGCGGGGTCAAACTGCGACGAGGGCGGGGTTAAATGTGCCCCCCTACTTTTGTCACTGGCCCTCCATGTGCCCCCCCGAAAAATGAATCCTAGAGACGCCACTGCCGCAGCCTGGAGAGATTTGTCAGGAAAAGGTCATTCAAATGTGTTGGGGACTTTCACAAGCAGTGGACTGGGGCTGGAGTCACCACACACAGACGGATCCTGGACATCGACTTCAGATGTTGGAATTTTCTTGTCAAGCCGCTCCTAAACAACAAACGTCAGAAGCGTCTTACCTGGGCTAAAGAAAAACAGACCTGGTGTGTTGCTCAGTGGTCCAAAGTCCTCTTTTCTGATGAGATCAACTTTTGAATCTCATTTGGAAACCAAGGACCCAGAGTCTGGAGGAAGAATGGAGATGCACACACTGCAAGATGCTTGAAGTTCAGTGTGAAGTGTCCACAGTCTGTGTTGATTTGGGGAGCCATGTCATCTGCTGGTGTTGGTCCACTGTGCTTCATTAAGTCCAGGGTCAAGGCAGCCGTCTACCAGGAGATTTTGGAGCACTTCATGCTTCCTTCCGCAGACAAGCTTTATGCTGACTTCATTTTCCAGCAGGACTTGGCACCTGCCAAAAGCACCAAAGCCTGGTAAAATGACCATGGGATTACTGTGCTTGATTGGCCAGCTAACTCGCCTGACCTGAACCCCATAGAGAATCTACGAGGCATTGCAAAGAGAAAGATGAGAGCCATGAGACCGAACAATGCAGAAGAGCTGAAGGCCGCTATTGAAGCATCCTGGTCTTACATAACACCTCAGCAGTGCCACAGGCTGATAGCTTCCATGCCACGCGACGCCACATTGAGGCAGTAATTGCTGCAAAAGGGGCCCAAACAAAGTACTGAGTCCATATGCATGCTTATACTTTTCAGAGGTCCGATAATGTTTTATGTACACTCCTTGTTTTATTAATTGCATGTAATATTCTAATTTACTGAGATTGTGTATTTGGGGTTTTCATGTGCTGTAAGCCATAATCATCGCACTTATGACAAATGAAGGCTTGCTTTGCATGTAATGCCTCTATCTCATATATTAGTTTCCCCTTTTACGTTGCATTATTGAAATAAATGAACTTTTGCATGATATTCTAATTTTTTGAGTATCACCTGTACTCCTTTTTACTTTAATTTGCTTTGCAAAATTAGATTTAGTCCATAAAGCCTCACGTATCTGCATTTATGCTAGAGGAACAAATTACACATACTGTGTATATCACATACATTCTAATCACATATATTCTAAACACATGCGGCACATTATTTCACTGTTATCCCCCTACCTCTGCCACTGGAAGGCTGTGCCAAGTATCTACTACTCTTTTTATATCACTCCTAGCCTCTAGCACTTATACTAGAAGGTTGTGCTATTTAAATTGT